TCTGAAGAGACCTCTGAGGATACATCGGAAGAACCAACAACTGCCAGCTCAGAAGAATCATCCTCTGAATCTTCTACTGAATCCTCTTCTCAGTCTGAAACACCAACTGAACCTGTGATCAGTGGGGAGTATGACCCTGAGGCTGAAACAGCTGCTTGGAGCATTGAACTACCGGGAAATATTGGGCCATGGGAGTCTATTGAGGTTACAATCTCAAAAGACTTCAATAATGGTGGTGAGTTTGATTTCGTTTCTGCCGACGTATACCTCAATGGCAGATTGTATTCGTCTGCCGAAATCACTTTAACTACCGACAGTATTACCGTTTTGATCTCTGAAGCCATTGGTGTGGATGACATACTTAGTATTGATTTTGTTGGTGACACTTACAGTGGATACCAATGGACGTCTCTTGTTCATATCACCATGACTGTTCCAGACGAGAGGTTGATGAAGAGAGCTGTTGTCGAATGGGATTTGTCTTTGACTGTTGTCAATGAGGCCGCTGTTCCATCTTCATCTGAGTCCGCGTCTGGGTCTGAATCTGAGTCTGAATCTACTTCTGAATCTGCCTCCGAAGAATCCTCCAGTGATGTTGAAGCCTCTGCTACAAGTAAAGATCTTTCTTCACAAACTTCTTCTACTATTACCATCACTGAACCTGTGTTCACCGCCTCCATTTTTTCCCTCGATAACGACGATAGCAACAACGATGATGGTAACGATGATGGCAACGATGATGGTAACGATGATGGCAACGATGATGGCAATGATGATGGCAACGATGATGGTAACGATGATGGCAACGACGATGATTACACAGATAGGGGAATCAACTGGAATCTAGCCATTCCTGGATCCATGGGCCCGTGGTCATATGTTGAGATTACAGCTACCAAAAATGGTACTGACAATGATGGGTTCTCCTACACCGGAGCTTTGGTTTACATCGATGGTGAACTGACCGATTCTGCAGAGGTTAACGTTACTTCCAGCACTGTTTCAATTCTCTTCACTGACGTCATACCGTTGGATAGTGTGGTAACTTTCATTATTAGCAGCAAGGTTGTTTCCAACAACGTTTGGACCTCATATGTTCATATTGTTATTGATACTATAGACAGTAAGAAGTTGGCAAAGAGGGCACTCTTGACGTATGATCTGGAGACAACTATTGATGCAACTGACATATCGAATGACACTACTGAATCTTCTGAGGA